TGATGAGCAGCAAGTCTCCAGCCCCAGATAATAACTGCTTACAGTGATTAGGCTGGTAGAAGAGTTGATGAGAAAGGGAGGCGGTGACGCCTGTTTGCTGCATTTGGTCAACTACACAGGAACAGGGAAGCACCTGGGAGGAAATGGCATATAGCTGGGGGCTGAGAGAGGGCTCAGAGCATAACAGTTGCTGTTAAACTGATACAGTCCATAACAAAAATACTTTTAAAACCACAATCCATCCTTCCTGGCAAAATATGAATATATCCTGTAGACCCACTCATTCCAGAGAGGGGAAACAAAAGCAATAATCCCTCCAAGATGTTACAAACAGCTTCCAGTGCCAGAAAGAAATCAGTGGAAGGAAAAAGAAATGCAACGGATGCTTTCAAACAAACACGCAGAACTTCTGCGAAGCATGGAGATGAATGTGTACAGACAGCCCTCCTTCTCAAGGGGATTTGAATTTGTCCTTCAAAGGTGCAGCCCCCAGGTACTGATCAGAGCAGCACCCTTGGGTGCTGCATGGGCATCTCCAGGGATCGCTTGGCAGCAGGGCACAGGCCAGCAGCAGCTGCGGGGCTGGGCTGGCTCCTTTCACGTTTTGCTACAACGATAACGAGAGGAAATATTTCTGCAGGGAGAGGGGCGCAGGTCAGGGTGTACAAGGTTGTGTGTGGCTGCCTGTGCACGCTGCCACATGTCACTAGCAGGCAGCACGCATCGTGTCCCGTCTCTGCACTGGAGCTACACACGGCAAGATCCTCATCTCATGCCTCTCAAGCATCGCAGGCATTTCTAGCACTACCTGAATATACTGCTAATGAGAGGCACTGGTCACGAGGGAATGTGAATGAGCCGCTCGAGATGAAAGTTTTCCACAAGATACTTACCTGTCACCTGCCACCTTGCACTGCTGAAAGTCTCACTATTTGATTGCAGCACCAGCTCTTCCAAAAAACTTCCCTGAACTCTCTGTCAATCCCACCCACCTGTGGAAACAAGGCATTATGATTGGAAGAGCAGTCTCCATCGTGGAGAGGAACAAAGCAACGGGAGCAGTGGCAGGAAGAAATGGGAGAGGTGGGCTGGTGAGACATCGCTGCCACCAGCCCTCTTTCCTGGAAGGTAACATCTTCTCGGAGGAGTAAGGGAGGGAGAAGAGCGACTGCTGCTAAGTTTCATTTTACAAATGAACTCCAGCTATCTGCAGGGGTTATCTGCCATTTTGAGTCACTGTCCAAGCACTCCAGCTGATAGTCCAGGGGCTTTGCTGTCTGATTCAGTACTGGCCAGAAACACACTGTCTAAACACCAGCTGGTAGCCCATTTGCTTCAGCTGCGTTGAACTACCACACACAGCTCCCACACAGAAAGCAACCCCTTCCCCCTCAAACCATAGCTGTAAAAAGCAAACATGGAAACTTGGCAATTCATGGCTGGTGTTTTTGACTCAGAGAGATCCCACAGTTGACTTTCCCATATACTGGTTGTTGTCATGGCAAGCGCAGGGAGGAACGAACAACGTGAGGGGTGGTTAGTCCTTGACATGCTCCATCCTTGGAGTAATGGCAGATCCCCAGCAAAACAATCCCAACAGCAATTATCGAGGTGCTTTTAAAATGGGAAAAGCAAAAACAGATTAAAAGGCCATTTGAAACCTTGAAGCTGAATGCCAAGTCGAAGGGAACGCAAAGCAGCCAGGGCTGCACACACTCGGCAAACAATGCGGAGACACTTCTCCGTAGGCAAAGCTAAATGGAACCCGACTGTCAAACTGGAGCGAGGGATGAGCCTTGGGAGGCTGTGGGGACACCTCTTGACAGCACAATTGGTGCTGCTTTATGGTTAGTGGTTATGACACAGAAAACCTTTCACGGAGGGGCGGAGGAGCACACCTGTGCCCCCTGCCACCGCCAGCACAAGGTACCAAAGAGGGGCAAGACAAAAGATGACTTTCAAGTGCAGAATTCAATTACGCTCCAGCTGTGTGAATCACCATTCCACTGGCTGGATTATTTTCTTTCCTCGCTGGAGCCAGCCCAAGGATTTGGAGTATCTGCAACCTGGGAATGGAAAAAAACCTTTTTGCTGTTTCAAGAATGGCAAGCAGTTGTTACTGAGCCAAAGCTTTATTGTTTCCAGTAGTAAAACACTACATAAAAGTTGTAAGGGATGGAGAGGAGAACAACAAAACAATAAAAGAAACACAAACAACCAGAGCAGACTGAGCACTATTCACTGAGCCCTTCTTGTCCACCCTGAGCCAACTCAAAAGGCACTCAACTGGTACAGGTTTAGAATAATATTCCAACAAAAGCCACAAACACAACCAAGGGAGATGCAACAAAGGGAAAAGTGGTGTTTAACAGCAAATATGTGCACAGAGCTGCAGATGTTCCTCTATCACATTCAAATGTGGCTAGATCACACTCTCCTGGGCTAGATCCTTCCCTCAACCCAAGAGAGGAGTCTTTCCATAGATGACTGAACTGGCTCGAACTCAGGTGGAATTACTCCATAGAGATAAAATATAGAGGTAAGAAAGAAAGGTTTCCAGTCTCACTGGTACAAGAGCAGTCCCAAATTTAAATCTGAGAGTGTTTTATAAAACCTAGTCTCAGTTAAAAATCAGACTCATGCCTCAAAGAGGCACAGTAAGCCAGCAAGGATTACCACGTTCCTGTGCAAAGCTGGCAACAGACAGCGTGGTAAACGGCCATGGGAAGAGAGAGTAGGGGTGAAAACATGACTGACCTGCCTGCACTGCCCAGGAAAGCAGCACTAAAAACTGTCAAGCAGAGTTAGAAAAGACAAGCTCAATTTTAAAAACTCTTTCCATCTGAGTGTAGAGTTTTTGATGAGAAAGTAACAGTCTTAAAGAGGATGGGAGTACATTTTTACATGTCTTTTTCCTTCCCCTTCTTCTATAGAATAAACTTAGGCTGGCGGGCCAGGCTGTCTGAGGCACTGCAGTAATGACAGCGCAAGCAAGACAGCCTCAGTAGGACTGTCAAAAGCTCCAAGGCAAGACAGGACTTTTTTGGTGGCAAAACACTTCTGAAACTGAAGATTCTACAGCTCTCAGAAGAAACAACATAACTTCAGCTCTGAAAGCATACTGGCATTTCTGCAAAAGCTGACTTTTGGATTTACTTTTTCAGAAACAGCTAATAATTTTGGCATTAGCCCTTTCAGAGATGCAGCTGGTCAAGTCTCAAGGTTTAAACAACACAGACCACGACAGAAAGTATCCCTCAGTGGAGAACAAGCTCATCCCTTGGTCTCTTCAACACTGATGTTGTGAAGCCCATGTTCAGTGGTTTCTCTTTATGCCACGTCAAAGAGCCCACATCATCCAAAGGTTCTGTTTTCCTTTTTAAAAGGGCAGAAACAGATCACAGAGGAAGAGCTGGAAGGATTTTCCCAGCAACCTGCCGTAGCGCGTTAGCTGGAAAAGCAGTAAGGGAACAGTCCTCTGTTGGACCATGTTCATTTAGAAAGAAAGTTAAGGATTGATTTTCCATCTCCTGTTAGAGTGTTCCAGCACCCAATCTCATTTATCTTCATACTGCAGCCATTTGTAAGAGCATATACTACATGCGCACAAAGCGCCCAGCAGCAAATGAGAACAGAACAAAAGAGTAATAACCATGGGAAAAGGCAGACATTAACAGGCACAAATCGCCTTTAAATCCATGATTTCAGAGGGAACTTTTTGGAGTCGTTTGTTTCTTCAGCATAAGACAGGTCAGATCTAAAGCATTTAATAAAATCCACAGACTCCTACTTGCCTAGTGTGGGTTTTGTTCAGGCCTTCAAAGATCTAATTGCTCTAGAGATGTCAGGTAATTTGATTTTTCTCATCTGTCAGGCCTTGGAGGGAAATTGTCCATCCTGGAGAATAAGCAGGACCGGGGCACGTAGCTTTCTACAGCCTGACTTGTGATGACACCATCACAGTCAGCCAGATGCTCAGGACTTGCAGGAAAAAGGTAAAACAAAGGACCCTGCTCATGCAAGAGATGACATGGTGTGCATGTGGGAGGAGAATCTGTAGAGCTTAACAAGATGAAGTAATTTGAAAGCTTTTATCCAATTGGGGTACGCAAAGGCAGCCAGCTGGGCCGTGGGGTGGTGGGCATTCTCCCACCAGGAGCTGCAGCTCACACGCACTGCCCATGATCCCACTGCCAAAGCATCACCCTCACCACAGAACCCACAGGGCAGTACACAACCAGGACTGAAAAATTAACAGCAAACTTCTGCGAGTGTTTCTTTCCTAACTGAAGTGTCTCCTTGAGCAGACAGCCCTATCACAGAGAGAAACCTCAGTGGAAGTGAATGGGAGCACAACTTCACCAGCCAATTCAGGATGCCCCCACCAAACTCACACCAACTCAAACCAGCACAACAACGATCAGAAATACAAAGGGTGACACTGTGGGCCCATGGGAGTCAAGTGCAAATTGGAGCCCCAGTCTCACTCTTCGGGTTCACAGAGGGAAATTCACCCCTGGGCTGAGAAGCAGTAGAAGGGCTGCAGTCTCTTCACAGCCCATTTCAGGGACATAGGGGTGAATCTCCCTTTCTCCTGAAGACTGCGAAGCCAGGAGCTGAAGCCAGGGCTGGGCTTGGCAAGCCAGGAGCAGCAGAGGCAGTACACATTTCTTCAGCTCCAGTGGGCACTTCGTGTGCCCCTTCCAAGAAACATGGGTCTGGACCCCACAGCAGCACCACACAGCACGGCACCTTCTCCAAGCAGCACCTCGAAGTGCACGTCAGTCAGCAGAAGGGGAAACCAGACCAAACCATAAACCAGGTCAGCAAGGCAGGGAGGACAGGCAGGTGCTTTCCCAGGTGCCATCACGTTAACGCCTGTGCAAGAGCCGGTATCATAAAGTCACCACCAGCAGCAGTCATTGTCCAGAGTGAGGTCTACAGGAGTGGGCAAGGGGCGAGCATTGGATTGAGGCAAAGCAGCTCCATCTTCACCTTCGTCAGCACCGCGTTCTGGTGTGGACGTGCCGTTTACCTTCAAAATACATAAAGACAAAAGTTTTGTTTGGAAAGCAGTGAAGGGGAGAGACTTGACAAAGTTATTTTATGTTGCTTTTACACTCTCAGTGCCATTTTAAGAGCTTCCGAAAAATAATAATGAAGAGAACGTCTATGCATCATTACTCCACAGTCTGTCAGCAGTCAGGGCCCATTAAACTTTATTAAAGAAAGAAAAGACAGGGGAAGGAAATGGGGAAAGAAGGAGAAAGAAAGAGTTGTACTGCTAGAACTGGTCCTCTGGTACACGCTTCCCTCAAAGGGCCAAGTCAGACAGAAAGCCAAGCCTCAGCTCTCAGAGGTTTCCAAACCAGGTGACAGCACCCATGTGCCACAGAGCAGGTCCTCCACGTGACCCTCCTGCCCTCTGTGTGCCTGGGCCATGGACAGGGTGGAATGTATTCCTGCCCGTGGCTGGGGATGGGCGCAGGACAGCAATGCTCTGCTGCAGAAGGCACTCTGGCTCATGTCAACTAAACGAACCTGAGCTGATCACGTCAGCAGCCCCTGGCAAAACTCAGGATCTGCTGGCGATGTGGAGTGCTCTAAGGCAGCTGTGGGTCAGTACTAACTTCTTTCCTCCTTCTTGGGACTGAAGGGGACACAAATTACGTTGACTCCTGGAGGAAGGACAGGGGACGTTTCCAGTCACTGTATTCACGTGAAATGTTCAAGGCATGGGGAGTCCTGCAAATTCCTCCCACCAGCTACTGGCTGACGTCACAGTTGAAAAATAACCTCCCGAGCCATAAAACCTCTCCATGTGTTTACAAAGACTCCAAAATCCAGACTTTTAACTTCTATATTAATGACTTCTCATGCTCTTTCCTTTATGCTTTGTTTTGAAAGATGACATCAACTACTGCCCTGAGTGCTTTGTGCAAAATGCTGAATAGAAAGCTGGAAGCATGAGAAGGAAACGTATTGCAAAGGGCAGAGAATAAGTCTAAGGATGTGGGGGCAAGAGGCCAGACAGGCTGTTTGATCGAAGACCAAAGCACAGACCTCTGCAATGTGAAAGACAGCACAAAAATAGGAGTTTCATCTTCAGCAGCAGACTTGTTTCCAGATATATTAAGTGAAAGAGGCAAGAGAATGAGTCTTTGTCAGTCCTCTATATTCAAGGAAAAAGTCTTCAATTTAAAACTCCATAAAGAATTACAGAAATAGTGAAAGTAATTTATTTTTTAGGTACTGCAGCCTTTATTTGCTTAACTTCAAGGCAGACTTAAAAGAACTGAAATGTTTTGGTTCTACCACTTGAGGACGAAAATATTTTAATTCCTTAAAACATGGAAGGGGGTATATGCTTCTTCTGAGGTTCATATTTACAAATACCTTCTATCTAGAATGCAAACCTTGAATTATTTCCTAATGCTGCCATACTGAAAGACATGTTTTATTTATAAATACAGCTGGACCACTCGGTGCTCTGCAGTACCAATACAAGGAGGCAGAGACAGCTCAAATCTTCTCAGCCATGAAGGCACAATTCAATTTTTTCACTCTGTGGAAGAGGGATAACTCATCCTCCTTGGCAGGAGGAAAACTCAATCCCATGGCAGTGGCAGCAAGCTTTGAGCAAAGGGGGCAAACAGCAGTGCCCAAAGATTGACGAGGCAGCCAGTGGAGAAGGCAGAGGCTCGGAGGGGAGAGGCTGGGTGTGGGTGAGGGTCTCTCCTCCACACATGACCCCCCCTTCCTTCCTATCCTGTGCCCTCAGTGCAAGCAGAGGCCAAAATCAGAGGGAGAAAGGGCAGGCGTCACGAGCACAGCTCCCTTGTGCAGTTACCCACCTCTTTCACCCCGCTGCAAAGCCAGCCCTGGAAGGCTACGCTGTTTGGCTGTAGCTCACACAGACAAGGGAGCGAGCAGTCTGAAAACATTTAAGCAACTTTCTCACCAAGTGCAGGAAAACAGAAGTCACCTCCTCAAAGACTGCCATGAAGAGAGTCATTAAAGAAATTACTGTCCCATTAGAAGCCTAATTACTGTTAGGACTTTTTTTTTTTCCCTCCATGGAATGGAGTCCCCACTGAAGCGAAATGTTACCTCCTCATCGTCCCTGAGGGAGCAAAACACATTTGAGAAACAGAAGGGAAGAAAAAAAAAAAGAAGTTAATGCTTTAACTTCAAAGATGCCCTGAGAATTTCCTGCCACACAAATAATGCAGAATGGCTCTGCCTGTCTCATGTATTAACAGCTTGCATGTTTATGAGCAAAAGTTGATGCCTACCCAGCCAGGGAGGCACTGAGCCACGGAGAGAGTGACACCACCTCATTTCTAAATCCAGTCAATTCCTGAAAGACAGGGCATAAATCTCGCCAAACTAAGAGCTGGAAGCACCATGTCCTGCCCATCTCTCTCAGCTCCAGGCCCTTTTCTCAGCTCTGCTCAGCTTCTCCCAGCATGACAGCTACAAAACAAGCAGCCAAAGGGAGGTATCCAGAAGCTGCAGCTTCAGCACCCTGGGAGTAGGGTCCAGGCTGGACCTGCTGACCCCTGGAGGTCCTTCCAGCCGGTCTCACCCTGTGACTGGAAGCTACAACATTTCTTATACCACATCAGGTGCTGCCATCATTGTCTCACCTCCCAGACTCAGCAACACCACTGTTTAACGTAGCTCTGCTTAACTGCCAGCTGCTGTACTGCTCTTTAAGTATTAATGATTTAGACAACACACTGGCAAACAAGCAGAGGTGGGGAGACTGTGATTTGCAATCAGATGTACGCTACTCATTCATCAGCTTATCTTGTGGCTGTTTTTCAAACCTCCTCTTTTAAGCATAAATTAGAGCCTTCTCCAGCCCCACAGCCCATGCCAAGCTCACTCATCATTCCCTACTTGCAAGCTCTTCAGGTGACACACAGAATGCCAAGCAGGATTGACCAGTTCCTGAGACAAGGTCCTCAGAAGACACTGAGGACCCCATTAACTGGGACCCACCAAAGTAGAACTTGCTACTGGTCTGAGGAGAGAGGTCTTTTGCTCTTAATTTATCCCCTGCAGCAGCCAGGTCCAAGCTCAAAAGTTACCGCCATTAAAAGTTCACCATGGGCTAATGAAAACCACCATAAGATACTGATGATTTCTTTGTTTACTTCTGCTTAATATCCCCTTTCCTTAATAAAAATGTCATAATTAACAACAGTGAGGATTTTGCTTTTTAACTGAGGCACTTCTTAACATATCAGCTGTACAGCCAGAACAAGGTGAGTCACCTCCCTAGCTGGAGACAAATAAGGGGAAAAAGGAAGATTGTGCTTCTTTCCTATCTGCAAATTTCATTCCCTTCAGGAGAAAACATTCTCCAGGAAAACCAGCATATGACCTTCTTCTTATCACATCAGAGCGGGCACCTCCAGGAATCAGAGCTTCAGAAGAAGAAAAAACACCGGACCCTCAGAAAACAACGCTTTTGAAAAGGTTTGAAAGGAGGTGGTAAAAAAAAAAAAATAAAAATTGGCTGCTTCTCATCTCACTGCTCACTTCTGAAACTTTGGCTGGGCTGAGGTTGCCTAAATCCCAATGCAGCTCTGACAATGACTCATTTTATGACAAACCCCAGGCTTCATTATCTGCCTCACCAAACCCCAGCCGGAGCTGGAGCAACACACTGGAAACCTACAAACTCTTCTTAATAGCTCCTTGTTTTCCCTTGGCTGCAGGACCATGCTGTCATCTTGGCCTTCAGACTTAAAGAGCTAAGGACTATGACAGCAGCTGCATTTGCAGTACCACTCCCTAATTCCCTGTTCTGGCAGCGGCCTGGGATTTAAGGATGCTAAAGTGTTCTGCAAAGTTGCACTTGACAGCGGAATTAGAGCAGAGGCGAGAAAAAGAAGCGAAAAGAAAGCCACCAGTAGAACAACACCTGAGGTGCTAATATGAAGCAAAAATTGCTCCCAACACAGTGTTATAAAGTTGCAGAGCCCTTCAGAAAAACTATAGCAAAATCTCCCCATTCTGCAGCTGAGGATCAGCAATTTAAATGACAAAGGATCTTTGCCCATTGCTCTGCTTTTGGGTCAGAGCAGAGCACAGGGACAGTCCCACAGGCAGCGAGATGCAGTGAAGAATTTTGCCACTTGATATACAGCACCCATCGCCTCCACCACTCTCTAAAGAGATGAACAGCGAGAGCAGCCTCTGATTTTTGGCAAACAGTGGCATCCAGAGGAACCCATCGTGAAAAGCCCCTCACAGACAGAAGAAGCTCTTACCTAAAGATGGACAGAGGCACTGCCACCTGCCCCGAGGCTCCCAGCATTTGCACACCCCAGACCTCCAGCATCCCAGAGCACGTGAACCCCTGTGCAGAGCACAACACTTCCTAGGGGACTACAGCGCTGGTTTTGCTCTTCTCTATTTTCCGCTCTTGCCAGGCTCCTGGCAAAGCATGGGGGCATTCAGCATTGCAGCCTCCTGGATCTCTGATCTGCTCAAACCACCTGCTACAGAGCTGCACGGAACACAAGGCCACACGAGTCGTATCGCTGCATAATGCTGATTACTAAATTAATATGTAATGGATTGTGATTGCCAATAGCTCGCTGCACAGATCACATTGCGGCAGCATCTCTCCAGCTGGGCGTGTTAAGTGCTCTCAGAGTAAACGAACACCGACCATGCTTACCCCTGCTGTTCACTCGCTGCATGGAGGCAAGATCACATCCCAAACGCACTGGAGGGAAAACAAACTCACTTTCCCTCTCTCCTCCCCACCCTGAAGCCCTGAAGATGACCCACACTAAGGGACAGAGCATACAGCCACGGCAAACACAACACGGGCACATCATGTGACTCCCACAACACGCTCAGGTTCCAGCTTTGCCTCCTTGCAGAGACCTGTGGTAGAGTCTCTAATGCTGCCACACCAGCCCTTGCCAGCACCAACGTGGCAGAAACCCGTACTGCCGGCACAGGCCAGGCTCTGCAGCCCATCCTGCCACCTCCTGCGGTCGCAGAGCCATAGCCGTAGTGTCACCTAACTCCCTGCCAACCCACAGCAACTCCCTGGCCCAGGAGGATGCTTGACTAGTGGCTGGCTCCCTGATGTGACATGACACACAGAACCCTGCCAGCTGCCAACCTCCATTAGTTCCCAAGCCTGTGCCTGCCAACTGCAGCCACGACCAGCTTCATTCCCCCCCAGCACATGCAAGCAGAAGTACTTGCTGCTGTCTCCCTGCCTTCCTCCCCCAGCTCTGGGGGCTGCACAGCCCTCCTACCAAGGCACTCGCTGCTGCAAGCTCCACGTCTGAATAAAGCACCCCCTTCTGCAGGAAGACTGGGAAATAAATGACCCCAGACATAATAAAGATCTTTACAGATATTCTCTAGTCAGCCAACCTGGCTTAACCTTTTCCTTAGCAAGATCTTCTCTACATCTCAGGGACTATTTTAACTGGGCTCATGAGATCGCTATAGTTTTCATTTTTTAAATACATGTCCATGCTGCCTGTCATTTTTAGCTCTCCTTCGCCTAGCAAGGACAGATCCCACCAGAAAGCGCTGACACCTTATGCCAAACTCTGCATACAAGTTTTTAGTTGGGAAAAGGCATTTTTTGCCTCTGAGATAGTTTGCACTGTCATAGCCTTGCAGCAGCTCATTCGAACAGCTGGCAGGAAAGCTCCAAAGTACAAACACACCGTCCGGGCATGCACCCATCCAGACTTTGTCATGGCCATGCAGCACGAGCAGAAAAAGCACCTAAGGGGTCACACCTGCTACCCAGCACCACCCGCTTCAGTCCCGCAGGACAACCTGCTGCTCCGCTCTGGCAGGCAGCAGAGCCAACACACAACAGGAACGAGCTGCCTCTAACACCACAGCCAACAGGGGCTTAAAATAAACCACCCAGTCCGGGGCAGCACGATAGTCCAGAGAGAGGACAGACAGAGCAGAAGTATTACTCATCTGTTTTGCTTTGTGAAAAACTAAAATTAAAGAAAACTACAAATCCCTGGAACTTGGGGAGGGAGGGAGGAGCAGAGAAACAATTTTATGCCAGCTATTTCTAGTGGGAAGCATGGGGAGGTGGACTGTGACTCCATGTTGCACTAAAGGATAAACCTGCTCTCTCTAATCCAATTTACGCCTCAACATGCACAGCACAAAACAGGCTCAGGAACAAAAGGAGTGGCAGTTCACAGGGCAGCAGGAACACTCTGGAGGGAGTGGTGCTAAACAGTAACTTCGGGGGTTATTGAATAGATTAGCGGGAACTGCAGAGAGAACACATTTGCATCTCTTTCAGCTGCTCCAGATCAGAAGTGATAGCAGCCTCTGCTCTCACAGTCACTTAATTGTTCCAAGGTTGTCAAGGGGGAAAAAAGTGTCTTTTTTTTTTGCACTGCAGAGTTCTGGGAAGAACCATGCTTGGCTTTAAGTGCCATCTAACACTAGGAAAATTTTTATTCCGTCTCATAAAGCTGCTGGACTTACGCTTTGCTTCAGTAAAGGCTCAATCTGTTCTGCTGCCCCTGCAGGGCAGATAGGAGCTCCAGGCCTTTGCAGGGGCACAGACCCAGGCTACGACTGCTCTCAGAGGTGGGTGTAAGCAGCTCCCACCCAAGATGATTACTCATGTTGCAGAATAGATTCTGCACTCAGGGAAGAGGGAAAAGAGTGAGCTGTAATGCTGTGACAGCATCTGCCATGAGAAAAGCAGCAGAGAAAGGTGATTGCGGGCCGCGGCTTTGCCGGCTGTGCCTCAAGGGAAGTCAGCCCCAAAAGCACAGATCTGCCCAGAGGAGGTTCAGCTTACCAGGGACTTTGCTGCCGACGTCGCTGTCGCGCCCATCCGCCGGCTGGTCGCTGTGGCAGCTCTCCGTGGCACTGAGGGCAGCCCCCTGCTCGCTGCCCAGGCTGCTGCGGCTCCCTGAGAGGGTAGGGGAGTGGGTGCTCCCCAGCGCCCTGCCCGTGGCCTGGCTGGGTCCCCCGATGGGTGCTGCAGAGACACAACAGAGAGATGCTGCAGTGGGAGGGAGAAGTGGGTGCAGATGCTGGACCAGGTCCTAAGAGAGCAGCAGCCTCCCCAGTCCCAGTCAGGCACCCTCAAGAGCAGGGTCAAAACCCAGTTCCTGTGCTCCACCTCTAAAACAGCACCAGCAATTCCACTCCCATCAGGAGTGAGGAGCTGGCAAGAGACATGCTGCCAGGCGGCCAGGAGCAGCTCCCAACTGCAAGGGCAGATGCTGAAAGGCTGCAGGCAATGGAGTGACCCACCACCTGTTTGACCCACGGATACTATTCCAGAAAGAAAGAATCAGACCCTCACCCAGCACAGCTACAGCCAGTGGGCTGCACTGGCCTAGGACAGGCAAGCATCTGAGCCAAAACCCACAGTACAAAGAGCCCAACATTCACGCACTTTACACTTTCCACCCTCCAGCCACAAGGAACAGCAACTCCTCACCCAGTCCTGCTCGGTGCTTTCTGCCTTGTGAGCCTTTTGACCCCGCAGGCAAGGGCTTGTCATCCAGGCTGGAGGAACTGAACTCCGAGTCGCTTTCACTGTCGCTAGAAACCACTGCAGAAAAGATCGGGGGGAGGAGAGGAGAGAGACAGTTATTCACAATGTTCACAACACTTACCAGAGAGGGTGCCAGATGGATCCAAATAAAACATGAACAAATGCTGACTCGCTGATCACGTTCTCCCTCTCCAAAAGGAGCCCTACCTGCAGTTCCCCCACAGCTGTTCGCTCTTCCTCTCAAACATGATGTGCTTTTACTTTTTACAAATGATTTATAACTCCACTGCCATACACTCCAGTGGTGCCAGCACCTGAAGCAGATGCACACACCACCAGTGCCTCTCTCCTAAACCTGCCTGGGACCATGGGGACCACACTGCTCCTGCGCCACGCTTTGTTACCCAAAGCTCCCTGCTGCAAAGCCAAGAGCGCTGTGGCATGCCTGGTCTGGGTACAAGCTGGTTCCTGCTCAGCTGCAGGTGGAGGGGTCCTGGCTGCACTGTAAGAGCATCCACGTTTGTGTAATGTGGGGAGAGGGGCTGCCTTCCTCCAAGCCACATTTCAAGTGCAGCAGGGCCTCTGTGGAGGCTCCAGGATCTATGAGAAAAACACCAGATAATTACTGAGCACATCAAATAAAAAACCTGCAGCCATTACACAAAGAACCAGCCGCCTTAGCTCATCATCCCTTCAGCGTTCATCCCTATCAGCACACAGCCCAGAACTATATTACTCCTATGCCCCCAAGGCTTAAAAGGCAAGGGTCACTCCTCTTCCTCAAGACGACTGTTTCTCCATTTCAAGGATGGTTTTTTTTCTTCTTTTTGCCCCCCTGAATCCTAGCCCTAATCCTGCTGCTTTCCACCCTCTGTAGTTTCCACAAGAGCTGAAGGAGCCTCATTTTGCCAGACACAACTTCCAATGCGGGGAGGCTGTTTCCACTTTTCCGTGCAATTATGCAAGCACCTCTCCCGCTTCTATCAGTGTAAAAGATTACTCGACTGACAGGTGCTCTGGGTAAAACGAGAAAGGTGTTTTTCCAATTCCTTGGGTTTTGTAATGGCCTGATCTCAGAAGAGAAATGATGGGGCTGAGGGGGAAGGTAATGGGAAAACAACTGTCTTTTGTTTGAGGGATTGCACCTACAGCATTTCTCTGTCTAACCAAGGCAGACACCAGCTTTCCTGGCAGCTCAGAAAACTTTCAAACAGTGGGTCACAATTCCTGGTAGAGTGTACAATACTCACTCATGTGGGATACAAAAAAGGCAACACTGCAACCTACAGCCTTTACTGTAGAAAAAGGAAGCCCCAACTATTTCTTTATATTCACCAGTATGTATTTATAAGCTCACATTCACATGAGAAATGAGTTCCCCGTTCTGCTACTGAACAAAGCACTTTGCCCCCATGCCACGTTACTCGTCATGCCCAACCTCACGGTGCTGCTGGGGGCAGCAGGGACACGGGTGCGGTGGTACAAGGTGACAATCATGGGGTAGCAGAGAGCTGTCACTTCATCTCTGTATCAGCCCTAGAATTCACGACACACAGTTTGCAGAGCTACAAACCCTTTAACAGTGCCCAGGGCAGGAGGATGGGTATCCCTGTATCCCTCCCCTCCTGCCTGGGTATCCCTCCCCTTGCACAGGCGAGCACAAGCTGTCAAACATTTCTGCCAAGGAACTCTGCAGACGCTCCTGTATTCAGGCAGCGATCTGTACTACACGAAATATTTTATTAAAAGAAAAAAAGAATTAATACCTAAAATAGCGCTTTTCTGGAGTTAACATCTCTGAGGATATTAAAGGTGTCTGCCGGGGTTATTGCAGAGCGTTATTGAAGTTGCCCCGGCAGGCACCTCCCCACGCACGCCGTGCTGCTGGGAAGCGCTGCGCAGGGGGGCAGGCTGCCAGGCCCCCTCCTCGCTCCCACGCAGCCTTCCCCCCCAGCACTGGCTCCTCCTGCGCCTGCAGCCTTCCCCTCCCAGCACCATCGGGAATGGGAGCTCTCACCTGCCGAGAGCAGGGCTGTGGAGCTGAGCTGGGCAGAGAGCAAAGCCCCGTTACAAGCAAGGGGGGCTGCAATTCCGGCTAAGAGTCCTCAAAGTGAAGGTTTGGCTTTGGGCTTTGCTGTCTTAAAGACAGCTTCACTACTTCCCCAAAGCTCCCTGGGAGAGGTGGGGGACTATATGTAAATACTGTTAGTAACAAACCATACGTACCAGTATGTATTTTTTTGCTATAAACTCCAATTCTCAGCTGTGAGAATCATTCCGACCATCCCATTGCCCAATTCCCTCAGAAAACGCACTCCTGTCCCACTTGGTCATCATCCTTTTTTGGCCTCCTTCCTCCATGAATCCTTTAAAAACGCTGGAAGTCAGGATTTATTCAGAGAAGGCCCCAGTGAATCAGTGGAGGTGACTTTAGCTGCCTTCCCTTCTGCCATTCAGCAGTTCAGACAGGACCAGCACAAGAGGAGGAAAATATTAATGACGCGAAGGCACTCACACCACAGGAGCAGCCCTGTCAGCTCTCATTTCCTCTGCTGCCAATAAAAATGTATTTTACCCACTGCACCGATGTTTCCCTTTAAGGTAATTTTTCTCCCAAACACCCAGACCTTCTGCTGGCACTTTCCAGAGCCCAGAACTCGTAAATCTGGTGTTCCAGCAGCTGCTGATATATCAATAAGAGTCGTCGGACAGCTGTACTTTCACAGAACATAACAGATTTATCCCTCTCCATCTCCAGCTGACTGAAAAAAAGCCCATAAAAAAAAAAAAAGCTGAGATAAAACTTGCAAGAAAAGCAATATTCCCACAGGGAATGGGTCACTCATTGAGGGCCTGAATCCCTGCGGCTGCTGCCAGAGCCCATGATCCCTTCGACATGTGGTTAACCTCCAAGCCAGAGGTACCAGAGCCTTGTGGCACAGAGAGCCACAAGAAATGGTGGAGGGCTGCTGGGCTGCACTTAACCCCAGCAGCACAGGATGGGGGGAGGCTGTACTGAAGCCAAGGGAAAAGGAGCACTTGGCTGGGGCTGAGCTCTAATATTAAATGCGTGCATTTGGCATGGGGACGCCTGCGATGGAAAGAGCCAGCCACACTCCCTCCTGCTGCCCATCGCAGGGCAGAGCTCAGTCCCTGCACGCACAAAGCTTGGCACTTCTTGCAGCTGCCAAAAGTACAGAAAAAGCACACGGGCACACATGGGCACCCTGCAGCAACAGCTCCAAACAGCCACGCACGCCCAACGCAGCCAAGAGACGCTGGATGAGCTAAGCACGAGCCCTGGAGCACACAGCTCCCCTGCAGGACCTGTACCATCAGCCTTTACAAACACAACCTCCGGGGAGCGGGGAGGCCAATAGCTCCTGGTCACTGCGGGTGGGAGGGTCAGAGATTTATATTAATAAGAGCTCTATTACAACCCAAGTGTCTCACTGAGTGCACCTCCTACGCTGGATCACGCTCAGCATTTCCCACAGTTGCAGGGACATCTCCAAGCAGGAGGAGGGGACTGGACCCAACTGCTCTCCCTTTCAGAAGCAGCACACGTGCAGCTTCAGCACAGCCCGAACTTGTAGAGAAGTTGGATGACCTGCTCAGCAGCCTGCAAAGCGCTTGACGTGCCCCAGCACGCTCCTCTCTGCTCCATCACTTGGGGATCTGGCCTCCCCCCCACTGCATCCCCCTGCTCAGCCGCTGCTCCTGTGCCTCCGACAGCACCGTCGCATTGCTTGGCAACAGGACTAGGGCACACTGCAACAGGAGAAACCACCGGAGACCGAGCAGAGCAGCAGGCAGCCCTCATGCCAAACAGTGCAATCGCTCAGGGATCACACTTCTTTTTTCCACCCAGATGCTTTACATTTTTTTCTGCAGAGCTCAGAGTTCGGAAGCAGGAAAGCCCTGCTGCTTATTGCCCCCCACCCCCTGACGGCCTTGTCCCGCCTGACCTGGTGCAGAAACCCACCCACATTCCACCACATGGAGCAGAGCTGTTCCCCAGCACAAGAAATATTGCTGCTATTCTCCCCATGACAATACATTTGTGCCTTAACTAATAGCAGGGTTCCCATGGCAACTGCTTGTTTATTACAGAAAAACTAAAGGCAACGGCAAATCCCCGTGTTAGCAAGCGCAAGAGAAATAATGGGTGTGTAAAAATAAAACTTCTTCCTGGTGGGCTTGGCTTTTCTTCCAAGAGGCACGTTCCTGTGGTCCCTCAGTCCCACTGCCTTCCCGCCCTCCTGCAGCAGGAGTGGTTGGTACCCAGGGCCTGGCCCTGATCCCTTTCTTTTGAAGGGGAAAAGGGGACACTTGAGGTTAGTGTCCCCCCCTGCTGAAAGGCTGCTCCTGGCATGGAGGATGTCAAAAGGACAACGGTGGCTCCTCTCTCCCAGGCTCTCTGGGGGCTGTGCCGGGACATGGTTGCGCCTGTGCTGGTCCCACCCGACTTGAATGCTGAGAGATGGCTCCTCCAGCACCTCGGGAGGCAAGCGGTGGGGTTACACACGGCTGGCCAAGATAACAGAAACCCCACCGAGAGCAGCCTGTCAGAGTCAGGCCTGTTAAATGCCAGAGCTCGTTCCCGAGAACATCCTGCCAAACAAGCAACAGGGCTTTACTCAGTGCCGAAAGGACGTGTCCAGATGAGGGTGTACGAGGTGTGAGCTGACAAATGCTATCAGCCAGGCAGAGGTAAGGCAGGCTGCCTTGTCAGCCACGACCTTGTAAAGCTCAGTCCAAGCCCAGTTGCAGGTTCACGCCGGCAATATCGCAGCTACATCACCTCCACGGGGGAAGGCGGCTGCTCTGCACATTGCAGAGGTTTCGGATGACAAACAGCCAAAGTCCCAGCACTGGCAGGTGAAAAAGAGTTAAACGGAGGGGTGAGATGTACAAGCTCCCAGCTTCAGAGATGAATTACAGTCCACTGTGCCCATTGAACGCTGTCCAGAGGACAGACAGCCTAACAGAGAAGGGCAACAAGGAAAGAAAGCACCAGAAAATAAACCCATAAATTAATATTATCCAACCCACAAAACAGCAGACAGTCAAAAATCAGAGCACAGGGAGAAACGCAGCTCAACATCCACATCAAAGCTTACCAAAGGCCACGTTGCTGTCCTCCAACTGCTCCTTTGCTGCTCCTGCCAGCATTTAGAGGCAGGCAATCTCCCCAGAAAAAAATTAACTAAAAAGCTGAACTAAAAAGCAGGCCAGCTTTGGGCTCAATATCTTTGACTCGTAATGTTTTCTGTATCATGTGAACAGAAAATACCTCATCAATCAGTTCATTTGCTAAGACAACTCCTTCCAAGCATCTCCTGGAGGGAAACACAACCATCTATTTTTAATCTAATTTGTCTTTAATTACAAAAGTTACAGTAGGGCTGGGAGTGCTTTCCTAGCTGGGGCCTGGAGAGAAGGTTTGTAAATCCGACTCTCCTGAGTCCTCTTTGTTAAAAGGTTATTTCCCCCTGCAGTACTGAGAAGGTTTGTCTTGATGTGGAAGAGTGAATGCTGCCGGTATGCTGAAGAGGTCTTCTCCAATTGAGGAGATCTAATAGCAAAAGACAGAAGGGGAGAGAGGCCAGACAGTTCTGCTAATCCACACCAGAAAGAAACGAAGAGAAATCAAAGCAGACTGGCAGCAGCTTTAATTCTGCAGCATCCACCCGCTGCCGTGCTAATGACCCTGAGCGCCCAGCTCCTCAATGCCGAGCTCCTGTTTCCCCCCAGCTGGCCCTAGGCACAGCACTGAAGTGGGCATACGAGCAACGACAGGGTAGGCAGATGGAAGAGAGGGGGGAAAAAAAGCCTTACAAGGCACCACTGTGAATGGGATCTGACAAGGCAGCGATCCAAGATGCCACATGTGATATGACGGTCTACTTCAGTCAAGGTCTCCCTCAAAGAACAGGGACGTGAGTGCTGAGGCTCATAAATCTTCAGGCTTGTCAGGGCTCTGGCCCAAGCCCTGCACAGGGCTAAGTTAATCAACAGCTTCTCTGAGACACATTTAAAGAATAACTCAGCCTTGAGCAATCCATACCACAAACCTCAGCCCACTCTCCAAGGCCTG